GCGGCCGTTGTCAACCGCCGCGGCAGGTCCCACAGCAGCAGTTCTAGCTCCCATAGCAGCAGCAGTTCTAGCTCCAGCAGCAGCAGCAGTTCTAGCTCCAGCAGCAGCAGGTCTCGCTCCCATAGCAGGTCTCGCTCCCGTAGCCGCAGCAGGTCTCGCTCGAATAGCCGCTCGAATAGCCACAGCAGCTCTGGCTCGAGCCACAGCAGGTCTCGCTCGAGCCATCGCAGGTCCCGCAGGTCTATTGCGGGTCCTGGACGAGGTAGAAAAGGCGGTAATGATCGTCGACGCATCTTGCGCAGAGGCCACGATGGCCGCCGCGGGAAGTCCACCAAACTTCCCCACCTTCATCGCCGGCTTGTGAAGTTGAGCGGGAACCGTCCCACGGTCGCGAAAAGAGGACTCGATGGTAACCTTGGGGCGGTTCGGATGAGATCTGTCGCGGCCGTTGTCAACCGCCGCGGCAGGTCCCACAGCAGCAGTTCTAGCTCCCATAGTAGCAGCAGTTCTAGCTCCCATAGCAGCAGCAGTTCTAGCTCCAGCAGCAGCAGGTCTCGCTCCCACAGCAGATCTCGCTCCCGTAGCCGCAGCAGGTCTCGCTCGAATAGCCGCTCGAATAGCCACAGCAGCTCTGGCTCGAGCCATAGCAGGTCTCGCTCGAGCCATCGCAGGTCTCGCAGGTCTATTGCGGGTCCTGGACGAGGTAGAAAAGGCGGTAATAATCGTCGACGCGTCTTGCGCCGAGACACTAAGGATGGTGGCCGCTCTAACAGGAAGTCCACCAAACTTCCCCGTCTTCATCGCCGGCTTGTGAAGTTGAGCGGGAACCGTCCCACGGTCGCGAAAAGAGGACTCGATGGTAACCTTGGGGCGGTTCGGATGAGATCTGTCGCGGCCGTTGTCAACCGCCGCGGCAGGTCCCACAGCAGCAGTTCTAGCTCCCATAGTAGCAGCAGTTCTAGCTCCCATAGCAGCAGCAGTTCTAGCTCCAGCAGCAGCAGGTCTCGCTCCCACAGCAGATCTCGCTCCCGTAGCCGCAGCAGGTCTCGCTCGAATAGCCGCTCGAATAGCCACAGCAGCTCTGGCTCGAGCCACAGCAGGTCTCGCTCGAGCCATCGCAGGTCCCGCAGGTCTATTGCGGGTCCTGGACGAGGTAGAAAAGGCGGTAATGATCGTCGACGCGTCTTGCGCCGAGACAATAAGGATGGTGGCCGCTCTAACGGGAAGTCCACCAAACTTCCCCGTCTTCAACGTCGCCTTGTGAAGTTGAACGGGATTAAGTCTCTGCTCGGGCAAAGAGGACTGAATGGCGGTAATGGGCGTAGAGGATTTGATGGTCGTGGTGACGGCAGCGGTGGCAATGGCGGTGACGGTGGACGTGGAGGTAATGGAGGCGATGGCGGTAATGGCGGAAACCGTGACGGCCGCGACAGATCTTGTTCCCGCAGCAGGTCCTGCTCAGACCGCCGTAGCAGGTCTCGCCCACGTAGCGGCAGGTCTCGCTCCTGTAACAGCAGCAGGTGTCGCTCGAATCGTCGCAGCAGATCTGGCAGGGGCCGCGGGTCTGGTGGTGACGGTGGTCATGGAGGTGACGCCGGCGATGGTGGGCGAGGTGGAAATGGTGGCAATGATCGGGATCGCCGCGTCTGGCGTCGCGACGGTGGCGGGGACGGAGGCAATGGTGGGCGCACTGGAAATGGCGGCGACGGTGGTGACGGCGGCAGCGTCAGCGTCAGGTCCAGGTCTCGCCACCACCGCCGTATGATCAGCAACAACCGCCGCCTGAATAAGGTTATGGCTCGTACCTTGAATACGGATGGTCCAGGAAAGCGTCCTCCACCAACTGGTGCATGGTGGCGAAGAAGTGCCTGGGGTGGTGATGATGGGGGAAACGGTGGGAACGGTGGACCTGGAGGAATGGGCGGAAATGGCGGGAACGGTGGTAGTGGAGGGGAGGAAAAGGAAGTTTGCGATGAAAAGACGATGGAGAGTGGGAATGGTGGTTCGGGTGGCGCAGGCGGACGTGGCGGCGATGGTGGAAACGGGGGAAACGTCAAGTCCCCTGAGCGGCAGCGCAAAAAAATGGGCAAAGGGATGGGCAAAGGGATGGGCAAAGGGATGGGCAAAAAGATGGGCAAAAAGATGGGCAATGGCGGTAAACGCAACAAGAAGGCCAAAGCTGGGAATGGTGGGCCCGGTGGGCCTGGTGGAAATGGCGGTAATGGTGGGAACAGGGGCGGTGTCAAGAAGAGTTGGTAGTCCTTGTGTTCGCCTTCCTACAACTTAACGAATCTATCACTATTCATTCTCTTTCTTCTTTTTGACATCTTCTGAGCCATCAGTATATCGGTGAGCCCAAGTTAGTAAGGCAGACCTCTCGTATCCACACTCGAGCGTACTACGTAGGCAAATAGCCCGTACACAAGCGCTTTGCAAGCGCTGGTCATATTTCGGAAGTAGACAGAGAGATATGGACTGTGATTACATGAGATGCAGGATGTACATGGAAACTGGATTATAGATTCGGGATAAAGTAACAGAGTAACGAGGCAATGGGTGATAGCTAAAGGACGTGTTGAAGAAGTCGCAAAGCTTCGCAAAGAAATGTGGAGGTCAATACCAAACTGGATCAAGTGAGTGGTGTAGGACAGTACAGGGTACAAGTGACGCGTGCAGGAGTTGATGTCGAATGAGAAGTCTTCATCACCGGGGGAGCAGACATACTTTCCAGGAACAAACAGGAGCGATTTCGATGGCAACCACCGCAACCCAGCCTCTCCCGATATTTCACCACCTCCATTAAAATTCAGGAACTGCAACGCTCACAGCTTCACTTGCAATACTGTCGACAGGCATGGTCGCCCAAGGACAAAGCATTTAGTCAAATTCACCAAGATCCCTTCTATTCTTCCAAACGCATCGATGGATCACGATCTGGAATATGTATATGACGCCGAGGAGGGAATTTCTTTGAAGTAAGCGACGTGGATTGCGACGCTCTTGCCTCTGAAGTCAATCTGAAGTCCTGAAGTGGCTGGGTCCGCAATCGGACACCAAATATAGTTAACGTCAGGTGACGAGCCATAACGGCAGCCACCGTCACGGTCACGACCTTGGAAGTCGCGACTTTCAATTTGTACGGGCGTAACCACATCACCAAGCAAAACCGTGCTAAGATGGCTCGCGCCACGACACGTTCCCAAAGGACTCAAGCGCCCTCACAATCGCAGCCTCGCCAAAGCCAGTCTCAACGGACGCATCGAGGAAGAAATGACGACTCAGAAGAGGACGGACCAAGAGATGAGGATGGTCGTGGTGATGCAGATGGGGATGAAGACATGGAAGTTGCTGACCAAGGTGAAGCGGTAAGTCAGCCACGCTATTCCAATTCCTGTATGATATGCCCAACCGTGTCGCAGGAGATCAAGCGAAAAGCGAATGAGCTTGTACGTTTGGCGTTGTTCACTGAGCATAAAAGGACACCCCTGCGGAGGGAAGATATCTCGAAGAAAGGTAGCTCGCATTAGTTGATAGTCAGGGCTCTGCGTCTAAATGGCTACTCTAGTGCTGGGAACCAATACGCGAGCCTTCAATCGTGTATTTGATCGCGCCCAGGACATCCTCCAAACAACATTTGGTATGGAGTTTGCAGAGCTTCAGACACGTGCTGGTTTGGATGGGGACGCCGCCCATCCAGATGATGAGCTTCGTCAAGCTCGCGGCGCTACGGGTATGAAGAAGAAAGGTCCGCAAGCACATGCTTCTTGTGTAACATCCCCTAACTATTATATGTTCTCCAATAGCCGCGGCGGTCGGCTCGAAGACATACATTCTACGATCTGTCCTTGACCCTGTCATTATTGAGCACGCAGCCCTCATGGACGAGAAGATCCTCGAGGAAGAATCGGCTGATGTCCCATCCGATGATGAGGACGAAGACGACGAGGAATACGCGCCACGTTTCTACGGGAGTATCATCTCATGGAGTTCCGCTGACCAGCTCGGCGCCGTTGGCATCCTCTATACGCTCCTTGCACTGATTCTAGTGAGTGGCCGAGTCATGAGCGACTGTACGTCTTTGAACCCATCACAAGAGCCTGGTTCACATGCCAACCATTTTTTGTTCATACAGTAGAGATCCGCACACATCTCAAGCATCTCGGCCTCCCCCCTTCAGGTCAGGTCATCTTCAGTACTCAATCAACGCAAAAAACACAACCCATCGAAACCTATCTTTCAACACTGATCCGACAAGGTTACCTCGATCGGTTGCAGGTTGGTGACTCGAAAAAAGGCGGTAAGAGTAAAGGCACGAAGCGAGCGCGCATGACACAGGCAGATGAAGAGAACGGTGCGACTTACGAATGGCGGTGGGGTAGCCGCGCGCAGAGCGAGGTTGGGGAAAAGGCGATCGCGGCATTTATCGCCAATTTCATGACTGGAGATGCAGGCGACGACGAGGAGGATGAAGGAGGGAGGAATCGTCGTGAGGGTGCTGCTACGAAACTAGAGAGGATGATGAAGGGTATTGAGCGTGCGGCTGGAGGCCAGTTGGCAGACATCAAGTAGCGCAAGGCGCTGGTTGTGTGGGAGGGACAGAGACCATCTACAGGTATGCTACGATTTATACATTACAAACTGTACGAGTACATGAAGAGTATCCCCGTGGTCTGTACCACTTAATATGCAGGCGACAATGCGATGCTATGTCCTCACTACTCATCGCTCAGGGACCAGGAGCCCGCAGTACGTAGATATATCGAGCTCTGAATAGCGAATCCTGGTCAAAGAACTCCGAGTCCTGATCCGGGCCTGACAAAGGCATTATGTTCCTCACATTGTCGAACGTGGGGATCAAACGTAAGACCTCCACGTTATTCTAACCAGCTGAGGAGGAGGAGGAGGAGGAGGAGGAGTTCATTATACTAGCAAATGATGGCTGGAGCCCCCATGTTTGAGGAATCGGACATCGAGGCCTCGTCGAGAAACAACTCCGAGTATGATCAAGGAGGGGTTGGAATCCTCCATGGCAAGACCTCAGCGCCATTAGCACGACGCTTTTACCAGCTGAGCTACACCACCGTTTGGAATTTTGATAGATTCTTTGCTGCCGAAAGCCAACATCAAATGAACAACACCATCAGCCTAATGCCCTTGCTGGCGGAGCATAGATTCCGTATTGTTGGATGATCCTGGGAACCATATTGATCCCAGCATGTTTCCGCACCACCTGTACATATTTTCGATACTGTGTCGATAACATCAATTCCACCATATTTCAATGCGGAATCTGGCATTGTGGCCGCCTCAAAACAACCTTGCCTGCACTGGTCCAAGCGTCGAACGTTTTGCACGTGATGGTTTGACTTGTACTTGGGACGATTTTGGAGAACTTCGCTTCAACATCCCTTCTCCCAATGCCATTCGCGCAATGCTTCTTGTCGCACACATCCTCCCTCTGATTTGTGGATCGACTCTCCCCTTCTGGCCACGATGATACCGAAGCTGGTCCCATGATTTTGTTCACGTCACCTCCACCTCGGACGAGCTGCCATGTACCGCAAGTGTCACTTCGTCGAAGATACCATGTCTGAACTCTATGCCCATCGAGCCGTCCTTCACTACAATGAGCAAACCTTCTCTCGGAACCCCAACGTCTGCCCTGCAGGACGAACCTCCTATCAAGCCACCGAATTCTAGCGCGACATTCTCCTTGGTGCGGGGTAGCGCACTCGAGCTCACTTTTGTTTCGGGATAATTATCGTTGCGACGCCTCTTAAGACGACAATTTACGACGACTTACGAGACTGACCGGCTGCCAGCGACGTCGACGTTGGTGCTGGACATGGGCCATGGGTGCTCTCAAGGGCGCGACACTTCCGACGTAACGATTCACGACGACTTACGAGACTGGCCGGCCGCCGGCGATGTCGCTCTCGATGCCGTGTATGGACTGTGGATGCTGTCAAGGGCAAGTTGTAAGCGCGGAGGTGACCAGATGCTAATCCGACGTGTAAGCCTCATATCAGGTTTGCTTGGGGTTTGCTCTCCTCTTCTCTGTCCCATCACTCGCCTTCAGGCTTCAATGATGTGTGTATTATACAACTGTACATATGCAAATATGATTTATGACCCTCCCCTGCCGAAGCAACTGTCGAGTGAAACCGAAAATGGGCTGATCCAAAAAGGCAGCTGAAAGCCAAGCACACATTTCACATTGATCGTTAATGCTGGAAAATAGCCTGGTCCCAACCCAAAAACTATGTAAAAACCATATAGAATCCATAAGTTATGATAAGCATAAAAACTAGCCGTGCTTATTCCCATAGAAATTACGCTCTCAGCAACATAAATTTCATAATTGCGAAACAAGGTGACAAACATGGCTCATCAACATTGTTTCGTTGTCGAATCCAAGTGATGGTGTAGTCGGCGACTTCGGGGTTTATACTCTGCCAAAGGACCGCCCACTGCAGGGATTCCGAAACTTTAACCGCCTCAAGCAAAGAGGGAAGTAGGGTTCCGTTTTGAGGCATGACGCGACGACAGCCCGGTGTGCAAACCGAAACCAATTATTGAGTTCCGTGTAGTAGTAGTGGTAATAATGGCACCCCACATCATCGCTGCTCGCAGGGTAACAATTTAATAGTACAATCCCGCTCCCACCACGAGTCGGCGGGGAAGAGGATAAATAGTGACGTCTAACCAAACCGTAGAGTAGAATGTTTTCGTCTCCTCTCGAGTCTCCATTCCCACACTCCACCCTCCATCCCCACATTCCACCCCACATCCCCAGAGACGACTCCAACCCCATCTCATGGCTGTGCCTGGCTCGCTGAGGAGGTAGTGGCCGTCGTGCTGCTCCCCTCCGCTCTTTCAATCTTGCTGTCATCCAACGCACCAGCGAACGGCTTGTTCGCGTCCGCAGCCTTGGTCTGCTGCACCAGATCATATCGTGATGCATACCCAGGCGGCGCCCATCGGGACGACGTCCACGGCTTGCAGTTCGGGTCGTTGTACATCTATCAACGATCAATAAGCATGTTACCACTTCCAACGAGTTGAAGAAGGATCGCACATGATCGACACTCTCAAGCGACAAATCGCTCGACTCATAGAGGAAAAAGTACACGAAAACAGCAGCAGCGAGATTGCACGCTACAAAGCTCATGAGCACCCAATCCAAGTCCCGAAGAATCGAAGAGGTACGCACCAGCGAACACGAAGCCATACCTAAACTCGATCGCTTTCACAATAAACGGGGTGAAGAATGCAAGGAGAAAGTTCCAGAGCCTGTTAAAGGAGTCGTCACCAAGCAGCCAGAGGCGGAATGAGGGGTGGCATACCAGTTCGACGCCGTGGATAGGGCACCCTGCTTGGCACGCGTGCGCGTGGGGAAGGTCTCACCAATAAGGATCCACACACCGCTATAATTAAGAGTCAGCAAAGCTTTATCTATGAACGAAGGAGGAAGGGGACTTACGGAGCCCAGGTCATTGCGTATCCAAGGATAAACATGCACGCGCTGACAATCATGACTAGTTTCCAGCATCAGTGTCTGGATCCATGAACACAACAGGACGCGACTTACGTTTGCCAATGTTCGGGTTCTCCTGTGGAACCTTAGCTGTACCCGCTGCCGCAAAGACGAAGAGCCAGCAGGACTGCCAGATGCCGCCGACGATGAGAGGACCCCTCCGTCCAAACTACATACGCATCACATCAGCGCGGTCTCCCAGACGGAATTGAAAGGGCACGTACGCGCTGCATAACATACAGACCACCAAACGTACAGACAAAGTTGACAGCACCGAGGATAATCTGGGTGATGAACGAGTCCTCAATCCCCACAGAAGTGAAGATCGTAGCGCCATAATAGAAGAAATAGTTTGCGCCCGTCAGCTGCTGGAAACTCTGCAGGCACATGCCTACACACACCAAAAGTCATTAGCTTACAATTCGAATGAGCCATGGATCACGATGCACGTACCAAGAAGCGTGCGATAAAGCGTCTTGTTCGCGGGGCGGAAGCAGTCAATCCAGCCCCCGCGCAAGTTACGCTCATACTCTACATTCGAGCGAATATCCTCGACCTTGCTATCCAGGAACACGCTGTTCGGCTCCTCAGAGGGCGGGATACCATGTGAGCGCGCGAGCGAATGGCGTACATCATCCATGCGGCCCTGCGTGGCGAGCCATCTGCGTCATCCATTTGATCAATTTCTTTGCTTAATTACAGGAGGATGAGCGGGCTTACCGAGGGGACTCGGGCATGAAGAGGATGCCGACACCGAGGATGACGGGCCAGATGATACCGATACCGACGACGGTGCGCCATGAGCCTGATGCGGGCAGGTTCCGCGTGCCGAGGGAGATGCAGTCTATATTCGGGGCATATCAGTTAGTGTCATTCATACGTTGGGGTGTGAAGATGGGTACGCACAGGCAACGAGAATACCGAAGGTAATGAAAAGTTGGTAGGTGGCAGTAAGAGTACCACGTATCCGAGCGGGGGCAGTTTCAGCTTGATACTACGCGGATGTATGATGAGATTGGGCAGTGTAGATCGTTAGGTGCGACTTACCATAGGGACAGCCGCGGAAAGTGCGCCTACAGCGAGACCACTGACCCAGCGGCCGACGGCAAACTGTTGCCATACGCTGGCAGCCGTGATCTGTATGATGACTCCGATGATAAAAAGTATACATTCGACGACCATAGCATATCGTCTGCCGAGATAGTCTGCAGTGCTATGAGATTCTGTGTTAGAACGCAGTGACGAAAGCACAGCCAAAGCAGGCTTACGGGGCACCGATGAGAGCACCGACAAGAGTTCCGATAGAGAGGAGAGAAACAATGAGACCAGCTCGTACTACCGTAAATTCGCAACTCGATATGTCGGTGGGGGACGCGCACGTCGCGAAGCGTTGTTTGAAGTCGGACATGAGTAGGATATCGCTAATCTGACCGGTATCATAACCGAAGATGAAACCGCCCATAGAGGCCACAAGGGCCAGCAGGATAGCCACATAGCCAATAGGCACGCCATGCCTGTCAGTGTGGTCAAAAGGTCAGGAACAGCTAGGGTCAGAGGTATAATGGTACAGACATGTAGAAGAGCGCCATGGTGAGCGGGGACCGGATAAACCGGGGCCCTACAAAAAAAAAGCAGCTTTTGAAGGACGGGGTGGGGGTGATGTCATCGTGATGACCCCAGATGAACGTCCCCGCGGAGAGTGGAGACCTGCCCAGTGCCGCCGTTCCCCTGCTTATTTTTCTCGCGGAACCGAGTTTACGCGCGTGCGGCACGACTGGGGTTGTAATCGATGGGTACCCGCCCTCCACGCGTATTACTCTCCGTACCCCCTTCACGAGCGTTCCACTATGGTCTTCACTAACAAGGCAGAAGCCAGAAGGGCATCTGCGTCATCAGTGACAAGGTCTAAACTTAGTCGAGGTCCACCAGGGTCCCCTTGCTAACGACCTCGACGACCGCTCGGAAGGCTTCGGAGGCCACCCCAGTAAATTTTCATGATCGACTTCGGGGGATGCAAGTGATCGATGGTTGTCGACGTTGCCGTTGAGCAACCGTTGAGGCATAAAAATAAGCCGGATTTATTTGGTTCGCTTAGCATTGCCTTTCCAAACAAACGTATGGTGTCATCATATTCAAGAAGCTTTCGAAGAGGTTGTTTCTCTGGAGGTGCCAAGAACACACATCCCTTCGCAATACGATCCTATGAAGCTTAAACAATCGATAGCCCAACTGACAACCATCTCTCTGCGAGCGTCCAAGAAATCCGCTGCCTCCCAGCCTGACCTTCCTCTCTCACTGTTTCTTACAGGAGCCGGTGCTGCTGGAGATATTGTTCGTGCTGCCATCTTCCTGCACCTGCCCACCGCAATTCTTGTTATCGTCCTTCGTATGGCATTTCGAGAAAAAGGCACAGCTGTACGGGAGGCTCTGACCCTACAGAACGGACAGAGTGATCAGTGGCCAAACACTACCAGTAGACGTGGGGGCGGCATGAACCTTATTCTTGCTCTCAAGATAACCTGTTTCCACAGTGCGTCAGCGCCAA